AGATGAGTCAGATGATTGGACAGGTTGAGAGACGGTTTTTGAACTTTAAAAAGTAATGCCATATTATCTCGAAAAAATCTATGAATTTATAATTTTATAAAAATAATAAAATTGATAAGGTGGGGCTGTTCTGGTTGGATTGTGTGTGTGTTAGCGAGGGAGGGAACCAGGGTTTTGTCCTCTCAGCCCCTTATGACAGCCCAAACAGCCTCTTCAGAGCCCCCTTTTGCAAATCACACTGGTCTTTCCAGCATGGGGAACTGTCAAATGGTCTCAGGTTTTGGAGGGTATGGTGTGAAAGCTCTTGGTGCCTGGAGTGCCAATTAAGTGAAAGAGGAACAGCACTCAAAGGGGCACAGACTTCAGATATCAGTCTTAAAACTGCCACTGGAAAGTGAAGGGGGTGGGAGGGTGATGCAGTTGGAATTGAAGTTAGAAATCTGTTTGCTGGCAAAAAGACCATTTTGCAACATGCCTCCTTTAAATGACCCTACCCGTGTAGGCTGTTATTTAGTTAACCCAGCATAAGGGGATGTTTTAAAGGTGGAGAATTGCCCTGGTGATGAACAAATATGAGAAATAAACTTCCAGTGGGGCTGGGTTGCCTGCTGACTGTGATTTCCTGATGATCTATAACAATGGTTATTCACGAACAGCTGGCGCATGTCTCCCTCGGACAAAGCCACTGGGAAGCACAGGCGCTCTGATTGGTGAACCAGAACCGTTTCCCTGGTAACAGTTAACTAGCACGTGTTTTATTGTTTCCAACTGCTTTTCCTGGGGTATTTGCAGGTGGTGGGAGATGCTTTCTTAAAGAGGGGTCATAACCTCATGAACTTTCAGATGTTGCAACAAATTGGGGAACAAAACATTTTTCTTTTTTCAAATATATTAAGTAAATCTTATTACATAGCATTTTCAAGACAAATGCAGCCCAACAGTTTTTCCTTTTTGCCATTATTTCCAGATGTTATCAATTTTAAAGTTAGCATTCCATTTTAAGAACAGGATCCATAGGAAGGTGATATTAATAATATGTATAGCAGTAAAGTATTATTTTGCCCTTTTTGGAGGTGTGTTCTGGTTCTACATTTTGCTATAAAATGTGAGCTCAAACAGTAAAATGTGAGTATTTTTAATTGGCCTTTTAATGGTTTGTATATTTTGCCTCTTCATTAATTAACTCAGTGTTTTTGCCTTTACTGGTAGTTTTGTCATTTTTAATGCACCCGAAAAATTATAGTATTTTTATAAAATACAAGACTAAATAAGATTTGATATTAGAATTTTCTTCTATATTTATTTGGCATGTTTTTGAAAGGATTGGTTAATTTCCAGATGGATAGCTCCCTCTTCTGTCTGGTTTGCAGAATTCACATCTTTCGAAAGCAGAGATGGAAGGTGAAGTACGTAGCACAGAATTCTTTATCTTGGCAGCAGGTTGAATGTAGTTACTACATGAAGAATAACAAATTCATGTATTGGAATATGGAGAAAGCTTCCACTGTAATAATTTGGTTTAAAATAAAACTGTCTATCCTGCCATAAATGCTAGCTACAAGTAAATGAAAACATTCCCTTAAGTTAATATTGAACTTTATCTGCAGACATCCCTGAAAAAATGCAGACCTGATCAATCACTTGACTGAACTCTACTTGAAACACTTGGACTTTGGTAAAATAAGCATTTGCCACTTGATTTGTACAGAATTCCAACAGAAGTGCAACTCAAGTCTTCTCTTGAGCCTGATTTGCAAGACTCTTTCTGGTAAGTGTTCTTCATGGGTTTGCAAATGTGCACCTACTTATAAAGATCAGTGGCATTCAAATACTTTTCTGCAGGAACTCAGAATTAAAAAAAAATCTTTAAAGCATTTCTTTAAAAATATTTTTCCTTTGTTTCCTTGGATCCAATTCAATCACTACACCCAGAATTAGGGTTATGCTCTGAAAGTGAACACAAAAAATCATAACCTAAACTTATAACTGTAGAAGCAAAAGAGCTAGTAAAATTATTTATGATAATAAGGGTACTTATGTACAGTCTGTGTTTATAGAGATACAATGAAGTGGTACATTTTTATGTGAAGAGGGAAACATAGATTAATTCAAGCTCACCCTTCTCGTTTCTCTCAGTGGCAGGGTGAAATGGGAGTGAGGGGTGTCTTATAAACCTAATTATTTGAATATATGTTATGTGAGCACTGTCTTCAACTCTCTGCTTTTGTTGAGGTAGGCATAGCTCAGGGACCTCTGAAGGAGAAACATTTGACCTCACACACTCTTGTTGGTACCATGTTATTGTATTCTTTCTTTTTAGATTCATTAGAGAAGTACAAATGATATTTTTTATATAAGGAATAATTTGCATATAGTGAAATGAGAATCAGAAAATTAGTCATTATCAAAATTTGTAGACTTAAGCATATATTTGAAAATTAAAAATTACCTTCTCATCTTCAAGTGGGTAAAATAACCAAGTCATAAAGTATTCCATAATACATTTCACATGAAATGAGGGAATTGCTGGAAATCACAGACCATAGAACACTCAATTCAGTCTCTCCTTCCACAGATGAAATATTAAGCCCAGAAGGGCAGTTGTCTTGTTCAGGGTCCTGCAGCTAGCTAGTGACAGAGCTGTTTTCTCTGGCTCTCATTCAAGTGCTCTTTTGCTCAGGCCATGCTCTGTGCCATGGTCAAGGAGTTCTTCCCTAAGGGTACTTGGCTGTGGCTCCATGAATACAGATTATGTAATTTCTTTCCTCCTCCAAATGAATAAACTCTGGCCCAATTTCCCAGATTTGCATTCCAGTGACTTACTTGGTGAGTGACTTTGGACTAGTTAACCAACCTCTCTGTGCTTCTTTTTACTTCTACAAAATGAGGATAATAATAGTGCATCTCTCAGAAAGTTAAGATCAGTATTGTGTTGTGGCTCAGTGTCTGGTACAGAGAAAGCTCTCAATAAGTGTTATCTATTATTTTTATTATTGTAATTTTCTGCCTACTTTTCTCAAGTGTTTTCTCCAGTGTGTCTTAATTCACTCTGCAGCATGTAGTAATCACACTCTGAAATGACTGAAGGTTGCACACCCATGTGCATAGCAGCCTTATTGACAGTAGCCAAAAGGTAGAAGCAATCCAAGTGTCAAATGACAGATGAACGGATAAGCAGAATGTGGTGCATATACATAAAATAGAATATTATTCAGTCTTAAAATGGAAGAAAATTCTGACACATGCTACAACATTGATGAACTTTGAAAACATTATGCTAGGTAAAATTAAGCCAGCACAAACAGACAAATACTATAATGATTCCATTTACATGTAAGGTACCTAGAATACTCAATTCATAAAGACAGAAAGTAGAATGGTGTTTGCCAAGGGCCTGGAAGAGGGGAATGGAGGAGGTGTTGTTTATGAATATAGAGTTTTCTTAAGATCAAAACAGTTCTGGTGATTAGTTGCCCAATAATGTGAATGTATTTAACACTACTGAATTGTATGTTTAAAAATGATTAAGATGCTAAATTTTATGTTATGTGTATTTTACTACTCTTAACAACAACAACTACAAAATGATTGAAGGGCTTAGTGCACATAGAACATATTAGTTATATTAGTTAGCTCTGGATATTTTGACCTCTTGGTCCCAGAGCTCTGGGCCAGTGCTGTGGGTTAGAATCAGAAAGGATTCTGTTGGAGGCTAAGTATGTGGTCGTAGAGCTCAAACATCATAGCTGTTTTAGTTCTGTTTCCTTCCTCCAAGATTGCTGATTTCCTGCCAGAGATGGACTTAATTTCCAGAGCCTTACAGTTTATGAACTTGGATGAAAATACAGAAGCACACTTTCCCCATAGACACATGAAGAAACCCCTCAGAGACTCTTCAAAAAATGCAAACACATGAAAAGCAATTTGATTCAGCAAGTTTACCATTAACAACACCTCCTTTGGGGACAGGAATGGTGTAGTGATAGTATAGGCTGTTAGAAAGAAGCTTAGAAACTGCCCTATGGAATAAAGAAAGCTAAAGGGAGAGAAATAAAAAGGGAGAAGAAAACTATATTTTAGTTTAGAATTTTTTTTGAAATTTCTGTTTAATTATCATTATTATCTACAGAGATGATTAAAAGCATCAAACATTTCCAGGATAAAACCCAAGCACAACTGGAAAAGGCTTTATACTAAATTGGCATTTGATAATTTCTTAGAATAATCTGATGTAAAAGTTGTCTCCCTTTTATTTCAATTTAAGAATCCCTTTCATCTTTTACTCAATAGTCAATATCCTTTTAATTTCAATTCAATAACATTTCTGAATATCTAATATGCATGTAGTGTAGGCCCTGTGTCTCAGAAAAAAAATACTGGGTTAGGGTTTTTAAAATAAGTTTTAAAAGAAGGTAAATATTTAAAGCTTAAAATGTTTTTAAAAAATTTACTGTTCAAAATACTGAGCTATACTGAAAATCATAATAAATGGTCATTCTTCCAAATAAAATTCCCTTTATGATTATGGGACTTATATAAACTAAATGTGTGCAGAAGAAATTTCTTCAACTATATTGTAGGGTGAATGTAATCTTTTCAGATATGCTGGTAGGGAATAATCACTACATTAGTGAAATGTTTGCTCAAGCCAGCATTGAAAAGAGACAGATTTCCCTTTATCAGCTTCTCAAAAATGACAACTAAAATGGTCAGTATTGGGACAGGATTAAAGTCTAAGTCTGTAAATTTTCAAATGCCACATTTTTGAAATAATCAGGTGTTTTGCTTTAAGTGTATTAAATTTAAGTGTATTAATATTTAATATAAATATTGAAATATAATTATTAATTTATTCAGCAGCAACAACCCAATCCTAATTTCAGCATTGTCTTAATAGAAAGCCTGGGTTTATGAATCCACAGGCTTTTTATTAAAATTCCAAGAGGTCAATAACAATCTTGTAATCAGAAAATATGCATAAAGGAGAACATGAGACTTACCAAGAAATGTAGCTGTAACAGCGCATGACAAAAGGCACATTTTGGAGACACGATTCAATTTCCTGCTTTTCAGCATCAGGTACTTTATCTGACCATCTGAAGGCTTTAGAAATAGGTGGAAAAAGGTGGGAGTCTTTAATATTAAGAGCTATGAAATGTGAAAAACAGGCCCTGACAAACACAGCTAAGTACATCCATGGATTTCATAATAGAAACAGTTCCACTTTCATTCTCAATATTTCTAGTTGAATAATTGTCCACCACCCCAAGGATTCTTAACAAAAAACATTTTACCCTTTTGAGAGGAAGACAGCATTTGAGTTCATTTTGAAAGTTTCACATTTAGCTTTTAGCCAAAAATGAACCTTTGGTGGCTTTTGAATCCCTTTTATGTCTTAAAGCCTTAGAGAGAAGCCAAAGAGAAAGAGATCAGATCACGGCCTACCTCTTTCAGCCCTTGAGAATTCCCTTTCCAAGTAGTTTCTTAAATAGTGAGGCTGCATCAGAACCCCCAGTTCTTTTCCTTAGAAGTTATTAAATCAGCAGAAAGACCGACAATAATGGCACATGAAATGTAAGTTTTGTATAGGAAACAGACAGGCAGTCTACACTTTGTTATTCACTTGATAGACAGAGCCATTTTGACAGCCCTAACCTTGGAAACCACAGGTCCTGCTGAGCTCAGCAGGAGTCAAACGCTGAGTACCATCTGTCAAAGCTTTATTTTCCCCCCTCCTCATCCACGCCTTTACTATAAGATGCTAACAAGAGCCCTGAATGAAAGTAGCTAACTACAGTTAAACTTGTGTGCATTGTAACACTAATGTTGGGGTAAGAAACTCACTCCGGGAATCTACCAAATTTGAGTGAACAGAATTGAGTATTCTATGTCTTTTCTTAATTGTTATCAACAACATTGAAAAAGTGTGAAAAAGTGTTGGGGTTGAGAAACCCCATACTAACAACTAATACTCCAAAATAAGGAAATTGCACATCATGTTGTATGTTTTTGCCAATTCTGTAGCTAAAATGAATGGGTTGGAAAGTTCTCAACTCTAAGGATTTTTTTTTCTTAATGTTGTTTAATTAAACCTGTGCAAGAACAACAAATTCATTTCTTTCTAAAAAATAGAGATTTTGATGAGTTAAACTTGTGCTTTATAAAATAACTCATTCAATACAACGACTCTTTCCGTCTCTCCCTGGCATAATCAATTCTAAAACATTAACAGGCCTAATAATAATAAAATCAATTAAATCAAGTGTGGTATAGCTCATGCTGCACTTGTATAAAAGACAGTATATCAATTGAAACTTAAATGAGCTCACAAAGGCATTGCTTTCCACTAAGCACTACCAAAATGCTACATTTTTGAAGTACAAATTTATTTGCTTGCATTTAAAATTTTTATATATTTAATGAAAAATTTAGATATCAATTTAAAAATCCTTCATTTGGAATATCATTTTTAGCACACAGTTTCTTAAAAAATGTAGAGAACATTTCTATAAACACAGATTAAAAAAATAGTAGGTTAGAATTAAAACACTGAATAAAGCTGAGCTAATTCTTTTTAGCAGAATTATTCATTATTTTAATTTTCAGTTATTCTACTACAAAGACTAATGTTTCATTTTTTCTAGTCTTTTTCCCAATTTTCCCAAATGCTCAAAATAGCTATAAAGTATTACATCATGAGAATAATGCTATATATATGTACTAGATATACTATACTATAGCAAGTAATTATTTATTGTTTAGTGGTTAATAACATTGTCAAGAAGACACTGTGAAGTATTATTAAATTAATCAATTATTGTAGTCATACAGGTGTGTACTTTTTATCATTTTGCTGAATGTTCCATGTGTACATGTTTTGCAGGGATTTGAGAGACATTGTGTATAAACACCTGAAATCCTGTATGTGAAATATTTTTTATTAATTGCACATCGAGAGGTGATTTTGCTATTTAAAGTGACCAGGTGGTGATTTATTTGCGATGTGAAAACTAGCTGTCATAAATAATAGTTTCTAGTATCACAAGGTTGAATTTTGTCCATCAGTTTTGCAAGACGACTTCAGCTGTATATATGCGTGAATGCATCTGAAAGAAGTCTCAATAGGTACTATTTGAGTTGGGGCTTTGCCCCTTTTCCTAGTTTTCCTCATCTGCCCATCAGCCCAGGAGCAGCTGAGGAAGGAAGCTGCCTTTGCTGGCAGACAGGGTGCCTGATGGGTAAACACTTCTTCCACCAGTGTGCTTCTGCCTGAAATCCTTTCTTAAGGGGGCAGGACACAACTTTCACTGCATTGAGAGAAGATTCAAAGGCAAATGCCCCAGGGAGAGGAAACGCATGGATCTAAATTAATCTTGCTGACAGTTATTCTGAAAGCAAAGAGAAGCAAAGGAGAGCAGGAGGGGAGGCACCTCCAGATGGAGAAGGGGCAAAGACAGGGGAGGCAAACTTGGCCTTCCTTAAGGTTTTACCTAAGGAGGGCTGCCTGAAGTGTCCATGCATAACCTTCCTTTGCCTCATGCTTGTGTTAAACTTTTTTGATTGCCATTGTTATGCTTTTAGTTTTCAGAATCTCAGAGTTAGGGAAATATTAAGGGTCAGTTAGTCTAACTCTTCCTTACAGAGATGAAGAAACAGACCCAGACAAATCTACTCCGTGATTTATCCAAACCCTGATTTTTTTTTTAAAGCCCCATCTCCTCCTCTGTAAAATAGGGGTGATAATATTACAGACCTCAGAGGATTTAATGAGCAATGTTGAAGCCTTTAGTGCAAGTCCTGAGCACAGAGAAAGTGCCCAATAATTGTTCATTTTCGTTATTACCATACATGAATTCAGAATCAGACTTAGTGATAATTTATGGTAACTATATTAGGTCTCATGGTTACTAATTTGTTTTCATTTCCTGTTTATAAATTTTTTTTTGTAAGGAGCTAACAGAAACAACAACTGCTGAAAATTTATAAAGCAATTACCTTATTCTATTTATCTTGATAAAATATGATGCATTTTGCAAATGGTTTTTTTCTAGATGTGTACCTTTGTTTACACAGTTGGAATAATAACGTACTACAATTTTATATCCTGCTTTTCTTTTTGACATCATACCAGAATTTTTAATGTGGCTACCAATTCTTGGTGAATATCATTTTAAATGAGTAAATGTTCCATAATTTAATTAGCCATATCCTTATAACAGAGTTTATTGGTTGCTTTCAGTTTTTCTGTTATAAGTAATACTCCAATGTCTATTTCAGGATGTGTTTCTTTGGGTGTGTTTTTTTAGAAATTAGATTACAAATTAGAACTTGTATATTTTTGTTACTATTGCTACTTATTGCTAAATCATGGCCTCACTTTTCTATTTTTATTTCATTAATGTTGTTTTATAAATGTTCTTTTAAAAATTATTATTTTGTAGTGACAGGGTCTGGCTCTGTAGACCAGGCTGGTCTCCAACTTCTGGCCTCAGGCAATTCTCCCACCTCAGCCTCCAAAAGTGTAGGGGTTATAGGGGTGAGTTACACTGGCCTAATGTCTTTTGCTTTATTGGACATCCAATTGGTTTTTTTAAAGATGCGATTGTTTTCAAAGTGATAGGGGTAAGTAATGGCAGAACCAATACTTGAAGCCCTCTTTTTACTACCCCATAATAATAACGCCAAAGGGAAAAACTTCCCAACATTAAGATGTGGAGGAATCATCCATTCCTTAGGGACTAGCTGAGGTAGCATAAAGTGTAGAAGTCTAGAAGTTGGGAGTTCTGAGTTCGAGTCCTATTACCACTAATAATGAACTATAACATAGATTCATTGATTCTTGCCCATATTTCCTGGAGCGTCTGAAGTTTAGAGAATGCACTGGAGTGCTCTTGAAGCAGTGTAAATCTCTGCAATGGAGGGCAGTGTCTCACTCTCTGAATCCTGAGCACTGAGTTGCTCTAAGAGGCTGTCGTATAGCGCTTCTTAAACTTGATCTTGTTACATTCTGGATCTCGTTAAATTCTGTTTCAATAGTTTTGGGGTGGGCCTGAGATTTTGCATTTTTAAAAAGGTCCCAAGTAATCCTGATGATGCTGCTGGTTCACGGACCCGCTTTTAGAAGCAGCCACCTTGAGTATCAGTGGTCGTTCATTTGCACGGTTGACTGTCCCCATGGTATAGAGCACCCTTAATCACAGAGCAATTTTAATCAGTGGATAAAGGATGGGAATTAATAGTAGTTGGCCAGATGCTCCTGAAGTGGTGTCTAATATGCAGGAGTATGTGAATATTGTGACCTGTTTGTGAAGGAAGTATTATGTGATCTGTTTCCTCTTTGATGCTGGAGAGCCTCTGAACCTAGGAATGTCTCTTTTCCTGAGATGTGGGAGGAAGTGGAAAGCAGCCACCTGGAATAATTGAGTAATATGGAAAAGCACTGGCTTTTTATTATCATTTCCCTTATCTGAACACAAACCCAAGAATGACCTTTTCCATTCTTATTTTATATTATCAGAGATTCCAACCAAGGTCGCTTAAAAGCTGACCAAGAAAATTTGCCAGAAGCACCTTACAAGCCATAATACTTTGTTGCAAATCTTTCCAAACATCTACTGTGTGAAAAGGAGCAAAAATCCTGCAAGGGCTAAGGGCAAGAGGGCAACTTGGAAGTGGGATATCTCGGCACAGCTCTGTGGAGGCCCTTTCTCTGAGCACAGGCGTCCCCAGGAGGCCCCAGCACCTGTTCTTACATATTCCTGCTGGCTTCTGTTGTTTGCAGTTGCTGTCAAAGGCATCCCAGGAGAGGGCTGGGACAAGCCTTGTCAGGGAACAAGAAAAGCTGGGAGTGTGGCGGTTGGTCTCACAAATGTGAGGATGTTCACCATCCCAGTAGGGACTCTCATTTCCCTTTCACATCTCCACACACCTGATGTCAAAAGGAAATCCTTTGAGTTTAGGAACTGTGGCAGAGAACAGTCTTTTCAAACTCAGGTGACATTGATAGCCTAGTTTCATTTTTCTAAAACTGAAATGTCATGAGTGGGATTTGGAACTCTATCATTGCGTCCCATGGAGTTATTGTCTAGAGAGGTGGGTGGTAC